GTCTTAGTTTACTTAAAGAAAAAATCCAAACTCGTCCTTGAATATAACCATATAGTAGAGTCTGTAAGAATCCTGATGTCAGGGGAGAAAGGCAGAGTGTTGACTAGGAGTGAAAGCCACTCATTATCGAGTCTGGCTGAGAGCAGAACTACAATATAACATGTGAATTTAACTTTGCTCCTATTTGAGTCATTTTACTAATAAGACGAAGACCAATTTCCTAAGACAATGGTAAATAAATCTGCGGAAATATTATATTACAATTCCTTGCTATGGGAGAGAGCCTTAAAGATGGTGCCAGGATTGTGGGTATTGCCAATGTGTAAGTGATCAGGGCCATGAAACAAAAAGCGATTGTAAATGGACTTATGATGCTTAATTATTAGGCCATTTCTTTTCTGATATATTCAAATCAGTTTCGATGCCAACTTCTCCCCATATATCAAAACTGGTACGAATTTTTTTTTCCCTAACTGCACAGCTGCTACAATGTTAAATAAATTAATTTTAATCTTAAATCAGAGATGTAATAGAGAAACGAGTGATTTAATATGCAATCTCATTACATTTGACAGGCTTATTTATAAATGATTTGCCCCACATTTTGACAACCATAGTTAATATGTTAATTAGCTTTCGGAAGGCTGATGAGAGGAGGAGCCTGCTAGGCTATGGTATTTTACACGCTGTGCTGGGGAGCACTGCAGTTGATACCACGGAGTGGCGCCAGTTTGTGTTGGCCCCTCCAAAGCACTGTGATATCATTTATTAGCTACAGATAAGTCCGTTACCCTAGATTAAAAGTTAATCTCTTAAAATGATCCCAAGTGACCCTCTGCTTTGGAAAGCAACTGTATCCGCACATCCCGATGAATCTGTGTGTAGGAAACCCGCCGAGCGAGCGCAGCGACCTCCACGGCTGCAGCCGAGCTCACGGCTAGGCAGGAGTGGCCCAGGTAAGCTGCTTTCCACATTTGCACTTTTCTGAGTGTGACTGTCAGAACCTGGTAAGCCATTGTGGTTTAGAAGCTTAGAAATGACTTCCTATGCCTTGACTTGCAAAGAGTTATGAAATCCAAGAATTAAGCGGGGCTATGCAACAAGAAGCAACATTTGCAGCGATCCTGCTGTACCCTCCTTACGGAGAGAGACAAAGGTGTCAGAGACTTTATCGCTGAGTTCTCACACTGCACAGCACATTCCCACACGGCAGGGTGCTGGTGTTGGAGGATGACAGAACATGACCAGTGCCGATGACTTCTATCACCTGCTGACAGTGCTCCTGCGCATGTGCGTTCGTTAACATTTTTATTGCCTGTGGCTATTTAAACAGAAAACTGGAAAACCTAACACCATGCAGGGATCGTTAGCTTTTAGTTACTACCCTTCTGCTCCAGGATGGTAAATGAACTGTAAAAAGAGCCTGAAACCACTGCCACCTGCCTCCCTGCTATTGTCCCTGGGTTAATATTTGTACTTTTCTCAGGCAGCTGAGCCATGACTCAATTATAGTCCCATTTCTAGGTCTCTGAAATGGCCAGCGTTGATGTCATTGATTAGGCAAAAATCAGTGTCCTGTGAATTTTTAACTGGAAGAGCACACACACATTTTGCCTGTCTTATGTCATCATGCCAAAATGGCTTCTAGTGAACGGCCTGGAATGGAATCAGATGCAGAGTGACAGGCACAGGCATTACTTGGAGCTTGGAAGTGAAGAGCCAGCAGGCATGGGAACTGCTCAAACATTACACATTTGCTTTTGGCAATGAATCATCTTGGCTTGCAGACAAAAGGCCATTTGGGGTCTACGATTTTCTAAAAGGTTTACCCCCTTTCACTTACATGACAGTCTTCTTACACTTACATTGTATTTCTGGAACGCAAATTGACACAGAGCAGCTTCCCCAAAGAAGTAAATAAACATACACATGCACACACAAATGAAGGAATGAATGGGTTTAAAGAGGCTCACACTGGAAAAAAAAAAAAGTTACTGCACATCAACAGACATGCATGTTGCTAAGTCCTGGTCCATTTTTCCTTTGTGCTTTAAAAAGCATTTGTGGGGCCTGGTGTGGTGGCCTCCCATATGGATGCCAGTTCCAATCCATCCAGCTCCCTGCTTGTGGCCTTGGAGGGCAGTCAAGGATGGCCCAAGGCCTTGGGACCCTGCACCTGTGTGGGAGACCCAGAGACTCCTGGTTCCTGGCTTCAGATCAGCACAGCTTCGGCTGTTATGGCCATTTGGGGAGTGAATCAGTTGATGCAAGATCTTCCTCTCTGTCTCTCCCTCTTCTCTGTATATCCAACTTTCCAATAAAAATAAGTAAACCTTAAAAAAAAAAAGCCTTTGGGGCCACAGCAGGCTAATCCACCCCCTACAGGGCTGGATCCCATATGGGTGCCTGCTTAAATCCTGGCTGCTCCACTTCCAATCAGCTTCCTGCTCATAGCCTGGGAAAGCAGCAGAAGACAGCCCAAAGCCTTGGGACCCTGCACCTGCATGGGAGACCTGGAAGAAGCTTCTGGCTCCTGGCTTCAGATCAGCCCAGCTCTGACAATTCCTTCAAGTAAAATAAATATTTTTTTTTAAATAGGAAAAATAAGCAAAAAGTGCTTTTTAAAAAACTGATTTATTAAGAAACTGTTTTTTTTAAAAAAAAAAAACGGATTTACTTATTTTTATTGGAAAGTCAGATTTATAGCTATAAGGAGAGCCAGAGATACAGATCTTCTGACTGCCGGGTCACTGCCAATGTGGCTGTGATGATCAGAGCTGCGCTGGGCTGAAGCCAGGGTGGTTATTCATGATTTGACCTCTATGCCCACTTTGCAATTTATTAGCTCCCTAAGAGCAAGGGCCCCATCTGTATGACTGCCTCATTTTTCTTTTTCTATTTTTAAAGATTTGTTTATTTTTACTGGGAAGGTAGGTTTACAAACAGGAGATACAGAAAGATATTACACCTGCTAGTTTACTCTTCAAGTGGCTGCAACAGTTGAAGCTGAGCTGAGCTGAAGCCAGGAGCTTCTTCCAGGTCTCCCATACAGATGCAGGGTCCCAAGGCTTTGGGCTGTCTTCTGCTGCTTTCCCAGACTATGAGCAGGGAGCTGGATGAGAATTGGGGCAGCCAGGATACAAACTGGCACCCATATGGTTTCATGAATATGCAAGGTGAGGATTTAGCCACTAGGCTATTGTGCCGGGCCAGTAAAAGTACTTTTAGGGGGTTGGGAAATTATCTACTACTGCAAAAAAAAAAAAAAAAAGTCACCTGATGATGAATATATAGTCTTCACTGAATTTCCAAGCAACTAAGACAAAGTTGGTTCCAAGCCCCAAGTGGTTTAAAACAATGTTTTAATAGCAGAACCCTGAACTGGCATCAATAGAAGATGACCTAGAATGTCAACACACACACTAAAAAACACAGCAAAACCTAAGAACAGCATGAGCATCTGCAAAGGCACTCTCAAACGGAAGGCCAAAAGCCAGAACGGAGCGATGACGCAAGCAAGTGGTATGGGATGCATTCATTGGCCTTATTTCCAACTTCTTCCTCTGCTACAACCAATGTGTTAAGTAATTATTTCGCCCAAACTCTGGCTTAGTCTTAGGTGGGGTGGGGGGAGAAACCCTTACTGTGTGAATGACAATCCCTAATACACGTGAAAAAAGGAGTGATGACAAAAAGAATGAGCTAAGCCCCTCGCTGGTAGGTGGGCATCATTATTCTCTCTGGTTTACAATATCATTAAGATGACACTAGATTTATTTCCAAGGAACAGCAAAATTTACGACAACGAATCTTAGACAACTTGATCACCTAGATTTATTTGTGGCTCTAATCAAAGCTATAGATCTACACTCCATAGAAATAAATACATCCATGTGTAGACAAAAAGCTGCATATTATTTTAGTGGCTTTGCAGATCCCAAAGTCCCATTCCTAAGAAGGTTGTGGAAACCTAAATTATGATGGCTACTGTACCCTACAATGCAAGGAGTGTGCCTGATTTCTCAGCCTAAAATTTTTGGCTCAAAAACACCAGAAAAGAAGCCAGGCCTCATTACAGTCTCATTTACTGAAAGCCAAGATTACTGCAGCTATAGCAGTGAAATAAGTATACGGCAGTAAGATAAACAACACCTGCTGATGTTTTATGGAGGCCAAGCATTCCTATGAACGTGTAGTTCAAGTGCACATGCAGGGCAGCGGGTAAAATCATTCAGGAAGAGATGAAAAGTTTGAACACTGCAGTAAGAATAGAAAAAGGACTTTTCTACTAACGGGAGACATGCTCAATAGTTGCCAGTAAGCCTGCCCTGAGCGACCAAAGTAAGACAGCTAGGTTATTTGGTTACTTGATTCAGATCTCACTTGATACGGAGGTCAGCACAGTTTACCATCAGTGATAATTATACATTGCATCTTGCAGTCACTGGACCTCCCAGCTAAACTGTTGAACCTTGCTAAACCACTCCGTGGCACTGAGGTGCGACTGGGGCTTCAGTAATCGTTTCCTTTCCTACGGATAACTGACAGCACCCGTTTACAGAAGCATTGTGTGAACCAGCGCGGTGCCCAAGTCCCAATCTTTCAGATCACTCATCTGAGCTCTGTTGTGAATGTACACGCTCTCCTCACTTCTCCCAGTCCCACTTCAATTGGAAATGTGTGCCTCTAGATGGATAGATACCCTTGTTATGAAATAAAGTCACGAGTGAAGGCCCTTAGGGAGAAAACTCAGCACTGACAGAAAAACATCTTTGCCCCTGTCCATCAGCGACAATGACCAGAGCCCATCTGCACGGGAGACTGATCAGAGTGCATTCGCAATCAGGCTTTTTAGAAACGAAGCTGTGTGCTCAACCCAGGCAAGCGCTCCTGAAACATGTACCATTTATCTTCATTCAGACTGCTAGGCTCTTTGTCTAGACCCAACCCAGACAAAGCACTACGGACAGATTAACTAGAGCAGAGCTGCCATTTCTCACCACATGTCAAGGCAGGTGGAGTATTCTGTGGAGCCCAGGAGGACGTCTGGAGGCCTGTACCACAGGGTAACCACTTCGTTCGAGTATGTGTGGCTAGGCACGGATTTCGCTCTTGCAAGACCTGTAGGTTACACAAAATAAAGACAATTTAATCGGCTCTAACAGAAAACGAGTTTTAAGTTTGAGTGTTCACAGTTTTAAAAGGCCAAACGTGATACGGTAATTCAGATTCATGAGTGTAATGTTAAAGCTAGTGGAAAATTTGGAGAAATCACCTGGTGGCCTCTCTCCCTCTTTTGAATATACCCTAGTAGCTATTAAATTATTTCCATTTCATAATAAAGCCCTGGTTTCACAAATATAGTAAAATCTCTGTGAACAAGTAATTCCTAAACTATTAGATATAACATGGGAAGTTACAATTATCTAGCTTTTCCCAGGTATGCTTCATGGATCTCCAGGTCAGAGAGTTATAAATGCCTAAGTATTATCAGAAAAGCATTATCACAAAAGGTTTGCTTCTCAAATGATTTGGAGAAAACAGAATGAGAACCAGTCTTCACACTGGAAGGCTTCCCAGTGGCTCTAATTTTTCTTGGCCGTAAGAAGATAGTGTGATGCTTTTCCCAGGGGGCTGTTTTAAAGCTTCCAGTGGTTTCTGCATTGTCAGACATCACCATGAAACACTAACTGGGGCAAACTACTTGAAACTGGCCAAACCCTTGGAAAGGAGTGGTCAAAAACTGTCGACACATGGAGCATACAGATGACAAGACACTGTGATGAATCAACAAAACGCCGTCTTAAAATGTCTTCAAATTGAGAAAAATGGTCACAATAAAATGGTAAATAAAAATATATGCAGTTTTACTTTGTTACTAGGAAAGCACACATATGACAAAGATTGGCAGTAAATATATTAAATATTTTGGTTCTGCTCAAAATTATTAAATTGTTATTCAAGTTTGTGAAAAAGGTTTTATATAAATTTCTCTAAGGTTGTTCCAAGTTTGGTACATAGAAACTTCTTCAAAATATCATAGAATCAATACAAGCCATTTTTGAAAAAAAAATGCTCTGTAAAAGTTGTCTATCTGGCTATATTTATGAATGACAAGCATAAAATATTTATATTATGATGTTCAAAGCATATAAAATATTTTTATAGTGCTCTCATCATTAGTTTAAACTTTTACATATTTTTTAGGAGCATAGCTTTTTCCTTTTTATTATACATGGTATTCTGCTGTATGTTATGTACAAATTAAAAGATAAAGCATAAATTCAAATAGCTTTCCTATAATCTAAGTAGGGTTACAGTTAATTTTATTCTGCAATGTAGTTTTTGATCAAATCTACTGTCTGCTACTAAATGGTTAACATTTATGAGTATTCCACATTAGCAGGTGAAGATTGCTCACACACACACATGCTCACACACTGTCTCCCGACTTCTGCACGTGAATGGAACACATATTTCGAGGACACATTTCCCTAATAAGCCCTTGCTTCATTTCTCTGCAGGGTTTCACTTTAACTCAGGCAAAACAAACAACAGACAGGACCATCAAAATGGCACAATCTCTCCAGAATTTGGTAATCCGATGAAAATATTTTTCTCTTCAAATGATTAAGCTTCCATACAGAAGCTAAAGGGCTACATACAAGTCTCGAAAATGGGTTCCGATTTGCGCCATATGCTGTTGTCAAGTCTAATGTGAAGCAAACACAGCCTGGATTCCCTTGACTTGCCCAAGATCCTGTTATCAGCAAGTGAGGCCAGACAGACGGGCAGGAAAATGACAATATCTGAGATTTCCTCTGACAGCTCAGATGACTGAGCTAGTTCTAAAAAACTGTGGTATTCTCACTTGGAAAGGGAGACCAAGACCTCAAAAATAACCTAGAAAACACTATCAAAATCATCATATATGATTTTGTAACTTTAAAATTATGTTAATGGTGAAAGAATTTATTTAACTGATTTAATATTTATAGAAATTGTAAACAGAAATGATTTCTTTTTCTACATTATACTCTTTTTCAAGCTGTATGTTAAAGAACTTCCCAAGTTCATGTAAACGGGTCACACAGTTCCACAAAATAACAGTGAAAACAGGTTTTCAATATGTACTTTTCAAAGTGTTAAGGCTGAGTTTCATGAGTTTTCCTATGAAGGTGTCACACAGAATGAAGAATGCTGCCATCATTTTAAGACGAATCTTCTGTACCCCCTGAGAAATATGCTGTCATCATCTCACCCTATCAATTCAAATAGTTTGTTTTGGAAAGTGTCCTGTATACTGATCAACAGAAGACTTCCATCTCAAAAATATTTGGCTAATAACATAAACAAATCTTAACACTTCAGAGAAGTAGCAAAACGTTAAAGCAATGGTTCAATAAGAAAAGGAAAACCTAGAGGTATGTATGGAAATGCATCTTCCCCAAATGTTTTTGGTAAAGATACCAGCAGGTATTTATACAGTGCATGCATCAAAACAAGCTCACTCATGCAAAATGTATTAAACTGCACTGCCTGCCCAGCTGAAAGAACACTGTGGGACAGGATTAATTAGCACAGCATGTGTGAAAGCTTGCTTTCTCTGTTCCTTGTCAGTTGCTATGGTTACACTACAGGGAGAGAGCTACACCACCTTTTAGAAAAGATGAAGTTTATGGGTTATTACCAAAACTTCTCATATTAATGTTTAGCTTGAATTAAAAGTCAAAAAGCAAAGTGCAATGCTAACCTGATGAATACAGGTTATGTAGATACACTGCTGCTTCGCCTGAGGGTGTGCCCGTGTAGGCTGGCAAGCTTCAGAGCATCTCAAATGGCTTACAGAACTCTGTGCATCCAACTTCTTAAGATGCTGTCATTTCTGCCTCATGGAAGACCCTGAAGTAGTTGTGAAAATCCTGCCAGGAGTTATGAAGGCTTGTATCTAACTCCTTATCAATGTCTCTGTTGGATGGTCACCTTGTAGGTAACTTCTGCTGCCCCCGAGCCTGGTGCTTCTCTCTGTCAGGGACACAGGATAAACCACAGGACAGAGCCCCCAGCAGCGGTCCTAGGAGGACCAACCACTCAGCAGCAGGTGCAGGAGGCTGTCTAGGCCTTGAATTAGCCTGTAGTGCCTTAGAGTCGGCTACCACATCCCTCCATTTAGATTTTGCTCCTTCTACTTCGCAAATACAGACTAATAAATAAAAAATGACTCAGTGTCTCTTCCTTTTGGTCCTTAAATGCTGACTATTGGGGTGTATGCCAATACCAGTGTTGTAGATTTACATGTGCTCTATTTGTAGGCCCTCATAGCCACTGTAGGTCATGTTGCTTATTTATTTTTCCTGTTTAATTTTTTTTTAAACTCTTCCTCCCCCACTTCTTTTTCCTTCCAACAAGAATGAAAATATTCAAATAATAATTAACTTTCAGATATAGGAATTATTTGATTTTTAAAAACTTTACAATACAGTTCCATAAGCTCTGGGATTTTCCCTCCTTTCTCCCCAAGTCTCCTTCCCCACTAATTTCCCCTATATTATTACAATAGTACAGTCCTTCATAAACAGTCCTAAGCCCATCACTCTATTTAAGTGTATCCTGACACTGTAGGTATGGACAATTGCAGAGATTCCAGCATTGCATTGTCAAGATACATTCACATTCAACAGTTTTATTGGCAGTCCACCTTTGGTTTGGAAGTGGAGATGCATACTGCACTGCATCTTCACATACGGATAGTGATAGTCTATTACACAGTTACTACACATCGCCTTAAATGAAGAGTCATAAAGCAAAATCAATAAGAAGAAAAACAGGAAATACATAACAGGAAGTTAAATAACATGCTACTGAATGACCAACGTGTCACTGAAGAAAAAAGAAAATCAAAAACCTTCTGGAAGGAAACGATGCTACCATATGACCTGTGTCATTGAAGACATTAATAAGAAAATTCTTTTTTGAAGAAATGAAAATAAAAACCAAAATGTCAATGTCCATTAGATGTAGTAAGGCGAGTATTGAGACAGACATTTATAACATCAGGCAGACGTTTAAAAAAAAATCAAAATATCACAAATAAATGAAATAGTATCTCAAGGACTTATTAAAAAGAAAAAATGAACAGGAAGCAAGAAATTATAAAAATCACAGCAAAAATAAATGAAATTGATACTAGAAAACTATAAATGGCAACAAGAGCCTAAGAGTAGCAAAGAAAAGCAAGAGAAAAATAAAATAAAATTAGAAATGTAAAAGAAAGCACCCTACAGTAGTCCAAGAAATTTAAGGAATATGTTATACAGGAAACAGCAGCAATGAATCCAACAAAAACTGATATATTGGAAATTAAGAACATAATGGAATAAATTAAAAATTCAGTGGAAAGCCTCAATAATAGAACAAGCAAGGCAGAAGAGATAAGGTCAGAATTGGAGGACATTTCCTTCAACAATGAGGGAAAAATGAAAAAGCTGCAAGAGGAACTGAGTCAAGCTAAGGCAAGTATTCCAGAATTAAGGGACACTATTAAAATGCCAAATGTAAGAGTTATGCTAATTTCAGAAGGCACAGAAAGAGAAACTGAGTTTAAAGCAGTATCCAACGAAACAATAAAAGAGAAAGAATTGGGAAATAACATCTAAGAGGGGCACAGAACTCCCAACTGGGAGCATCAAAACAATCTTCACGACACATGATAATCAAGCTGTCTTAAGCTGAACACCAGGAAAAGATTCTTGAACATGCACATTAAAAAAAATCAATTAACAAATAGAGGAACCCCAATCAGACTCACTATTGACCTCTCAGAGGAAATTCTCTAGGCCAGAAGAGAATAGAGTGACACATTCCAGATTCTAAAAGGAAAACATTGGCAGCCCAGAATAACTTACCCAGCAAAGCTTTCCTTTATTTTTGAAAATGAGAAATTCTTCCAGAGTAAAGAAAAGCTCAAAGAATTCACTTCTTCAAGACCTGGCCTACAAATGATACTTAAAGATGCTCTCTTAACAGAAAAAAAGAATAGCACCTACCAAAATCAAAGGCAAACGTGAAGAACATTCCAATAAAAAAAAGCAATCATCTGATTTAAATTTTTTTTGTGTAAA